TCCTCCTCCTCCTCCTCCATCTGCAAGAAAACCACCCTCTGAGCTCCAAGAACTCCTCATTTCAGCCCTGAGCTACAAAGATTCTCCTTTATCAGAATCTCCTCAATATTTGCAGCAGACAAATCCTAAAAAAGGAAGTAGCCTTCTCACAAGTCATCAAGGCTTGGGTCAAAATGTCTGCTGTTCTGTTTCTTGGAAATTCAAGATTCATAGTATCTCCTCTTCCTCCTAATTCCTGGAAACCCAAAGGGTGGCTAATGATTGTTCATATCTTGGCACTCCAGCATCTGGTGGACATTCCTGGCATAGTCTAAAAATCCATCCTGTCCTTCCCAGAATGAAGGTTAAAACAGGTCATCTTCCTCATCCCCTCCTATCACATCAATCTGCCCCCTTTGGTTCATTGTCCCATTCCCACAATCCCCTCGTCTTCAAAAGATACTAAATGTGGCTCTCAGCCACCAACTGCTCGGCCAGAGACTTTGTCTATGGAGATTCTTAGTCATCCAGGTCCCTAAGGTGCTTTTTTCCAAAAGGCAACTGGACTTTGTTTTTTCCTTGAAGATGTTTCTCTTCTCATCCAAGAAGCTTCTTCAATTCTCTTCCAGGAAGCTTCTTCAGAACTGAAGAAGCTTCTTGGATGAGAAATGGAAGATCTTCGTGGAAAAACAAAGAAAGTCCAGTTGCTTTTTAAAAAAAAAAAACCAAAAAAAAAAACCCTTTGGGACATCCAAAGACCTTGTTCGTCCTACCTCCTTGGATGTCTGTAAATAAAAAGAAACCCTTGAGATTTGATTTTTGAGTCTTGGTGAGGGAGAAACCTCCAAGATATTGTACCTCCGATTTGTCTACCCAGGGCCTTTCTTTCCCAGAAACACAGATTGTGCAGCCTCTGAGAAATCAAATGGATGGGAGATCCTTCAGGCTAGATCGAGGAATCAGATGCTGTCGCTTAGGCAACATATCCTGCCGTAGCAGCTTCGATCTGTTGCTAGCATGATTGCAAAAGTAATCTCTGCTTATCACATATCTACGATGATTTCCTGTTCCTACCAAAAACAGCCTCTTTTCGTTTTCCGAGCTGAGTTCCCCTGTGGGCTTCCTGTGCCGTTTGCAAAAGAGCGAGACAAACTGTCTGGGCTTCTTCTGAACTTCCCCCCACCCTTAAGCCATTCTTGACCAACAGCCAAAACTGTAGTTGCTTCTCTGTTGAGGCTGCAGGCCAGTCTCCCAAAGGAGCCAGGGAGTTTGACTTGATGATTTGGGAAGAAAAGTTCTTGAGCAAAAACTAACCCATTGCTCACGGCCAGCAGTTCAATTCTCACCGGCTCAAAGTTGACTCAGCCTTCCATCCTTCCGAGGTCAGTAAAATGAGGATCCAGATGGTTGGGGACAATATGCTGACTCTGTAAACCGCTTAGAGACGGCTGTAAAGCGCTGTGAAGAGGTATATAAGTCTAAGTGCAATTGCTAGGGCTATTGCTACAAGAATGGCCACCTCATCCAAAATGGTTAACAATATGGCAGATTAATCGAAAAGGTGGAGCTTCTGTGAAAATTCTTGCCCACAGATTCCCAGTGTTGATGGCAGAATGGGATTCTCTTCCCTGGTTAAAGATTTGTGTGACCTGATGGTGGTTGTGTGAACGTTGCAGGTGTAGATTTGTGTAAGGGTTTCTTTTGAACATGTATGTGAAAATCCCTTTAAGCACTATCATGAAAGAAACTCAGGGCAATCCTACACTATGATAGATCCCCAGATATTTAGTATAGAATTGCTGGTTTATGTTGTTGGGTATTATTGTTGTTGTTCATGTAAACATCATATTGATTTACATTATTTAAGTTCATTGGTGGCTTATCATAGTAATGTACCCATCACAGTACATCTAATTTGGGGCACTAATTCAAACAACAGTTGAAGTAAACCTAATACAATCGGTTTCTCAAAATCTGAATATCAGCTCCAATTCTAAGAATTATTGCTAAAAAAACACACTAAAAAACTGTTTCCCAAGATAGATACTCCTGTATTCCCCACTCCTGTTCAAAAACAAGCATTCTCCATATGGGTTTTGAGAACATCCCTCAAGAATTACCAAGATACTTTTCCATCTTCTCAGCCAGCAAGAAGCTTGGGATAATTGCAGACCTGTCTTCTTGGAACTGTTAAATGACCCCATACTTTCTCCCTGATGTAGGCAGCCTCCAAATGGACAGTAAGAGGTACTTAAGTGGAGAAGCCCACTGTTGCAGCCCAACCCACAAGGAGACTGAATGACACAGTCAAGGAAGAACCAGAATGGAAGGTCCTGCAACAACCTCTTCAAGATGTAGCAAATCAATCAAGACCACCTCATCTTCCAAAAGATGTAGCAAAAAAAGATTCTTTCAAAATGCGCCTCAGGTTATCGGCCAGTCCCTTGGCAGTGGCCACTGGAGCTGCTCTCACCACATCTGGTGTGTGGCTGGTGGTTGACTGGGCTTGGAGCACAGTTCCATTTGGTTTCTCCAGGTCCTATTTGTGGCTCATTTACTCTCTCTTCTTTGGGGGAGAGCAACCGCTGTAGCTCCTCTTGGTCAGGGAGGGGGTTCTTGCCATACTCCACGAGGACCCAGGTTCGGTACTGCCAAGACAAAATTCCAGAGGAGCTGTCAATGAGAAGACTTGGCCAAGATACAGAGAGTACGTAGAGTGAAAGATCAGGGAAATGCTGCCTTAGAGGACAGATATGGGTCACCTAAGACCCATATAGCACACACACAGAGAGACACAGTCTGTGCCAAGGGTCTTCTCACTCTATCTCCATGATCCACGGACCTCTAACATGATCACTTCCTTCCAGAACTAAAGTTCTATTAGTCCTCCTAAGCCAGAACTAAGCTGGAAGTAGAACATAGAGCACAGAATAGTAGGGCTGGAAGGGACCTTGGAGGTCTTCTAATTCAATTTCCTGCTCAGGCAGGAGACCCTATACCAGGAGTAGGCAACCTTGGCTCTTTTATGACTCGTGGACTTCAACGCCCAGAATTCCTGAGCCAGCTATGCTAGCTCAGGAATTCTGGGAGTTGAAGTTCACGAGTCATAAAAGAGCCAAGGTTGCCTACCCCTGCCCTATACCATTCCAGACAGATGCCTGTCCAATCTTTTCTTGGAAACCTCCAGGGATGGAGCACCTATAATTTCCGGAGGCAAAGCCATTCCACTGATTGTTCTCACTGTCCAGAAATTTCTTCTTAGTTCTAAGCTGCATCTCTCTTTGATGATCTTCCACCTGTTACTTCTTGTCCTTGGTGCTTTGGGAAACAGGACGACCCCCTCGTCTCTGTGACAGCCCCTCAAGTCCTAGAAGACAGTTATCATGTCACCCTAGTCCTTCTCTTTGTTAGACTAGACATATCTAATTCCTTCATTCGCTCAACGTATGGTTTAGCCTCCAGACCTCTGATCAACATTGTGGCTCTTCTTGAATAAAGTAACTTTACTCAACTCTTCCTTGGAAAAATAACATACAATCACAAAAGCCCGATGCCCTTCCAGGATCATCACCAAATTGGCTCCTAGAAGAGCCTTTGGTGGGTCTTAATTTCAACCCCAGAGAGCAGCAAAATACCCTGGTCTCTTTCAGAAAGCCACGTGAGGAGAGGATGAGTAAAGCATGAAAAAGTCAATGAGACAGGACTTTTACCAATGCCAATCAGAGCTGGCTGTGAATTCCGTTCATAGCAACCTTTAAGATCCCCTGATCATTAATTTCTACAAGTGGGTTGTGGTTAGTTTTGGGGGACTTCCAGTGGGAATTTTTAACTTTTTTGCCTCTCCTGACATACCTCTCTTTGGCTCACGGAGCCCACCCCCACCCCGCCTGAAACCAGCCACAGATTGTTTTGAAACAGGAAAACACGCGACATTTCACTCCCATTCTCGGGGCTATGAACAAGAATGAAAGCTCACTTGATTTTCTGATACTGCCAAGCCGTTCCAATAAAGCAGCATCTGGGAGCTTAATTAAGATTGTCAAAGCCTTTAACTCCACCCTCCGGTTTCCCTCTGGGCCTGCATAAAAATTGGACTCAAAAAAAAAGAAAAGAAAGAAAGTGTTTTTCATTTCCCTTTCCCACTATTCAAATTCTGCTTGCACAATCTTCGGCCTCAGATGTGCAGCGAATAATTTGCTAGAGATTATTGAGGTGCTGTTCCAAATTGTTGCTGATCAGACAATATAACATGAAATTTGGCTTTCTTTGCAAATCAATGTTAGCAGAAAACGCACACACATACAAACATATAGACACCCCCCAAAACTATCTATCTATCTATCTATCTATCTGTCTGTCTGTCTGTCTATCTATCTATCTATCTATCTATCTATCTATCTATCTATCTCTCTATCTCTCTATCCCTCTATCATCTATCTATCTATCTATCTATCTATCTATCTATCTATCTATCTATCTATCTATCTATCTATCTATCTATCTATCTATCTATTCTTTAACAAATCATATGATTTGCTACAATGCTCATTTGGGGATTTCCAAAAGAAAACTTTTTTTCACCTTGTGCATAATGAATTAATTAATGTTTTAGCTATTCTGGGGACACCGAAAGATGGGTTTTTTTTGTTTTTTGTTTTTGTTTTTGCTTTAAGAAGGAAAAAATAGTATATTAGATAGAAGAATGAGAAATATTTTCATTAAACTAACTTCTTGTCAGGCACAAAAGATCAGGTCCACCCATGAAGGTCCAATTAAGCTGATTTATTGCAAAACAGCCTCTGCACAGGAATCTTCTCAGCTACAAAATTAGCACTTCCTAGGAGTTAGATAAGGGTCAATTAAATTCACGGGAGTTGGATTTAGTTTGCTTGTGGTTACCTAGGGATTCTAGGCAGGTCCCCCTTTTAACTCTGCCTCCAGTTTTCCCACTCCTTCCCCTACTCTTCCTAAGTAGACATTTAGAGGGGGCTCTAGGGAGTGGGGTGGATTAAACATCAGAGATCGGTAGGCCTAGAAAAATGAAAAATTGGGGGGGGGGTTAATATGTCACCACTGCTGCAAGATAAGGTCAAAAAAAGCCAAGATGTCAGTCACGATGGTGTGATTAAGCTCCATCTGGTTTCATGTCTGTCATATATCTTGACTTTTTGACCACATTCTGACCTACTGCGAGCACTAGATTACCAAGCTTTGGATCTGCACAGATAAACTCTCTGGAAAAGGATGAAGCTGAAGTGTAAATTCATTTCAGAGAATCAATCAAAAGAGAAACTAGTATCTCATTCAGTTTCAGAGTCTGGAGTGGAATAGCCCCAAGAACTCTAAAGGTCAACCTGGAGCTCGCGATCTTACTCTTCGGTGTCTTCCAGGAAGCCCTTTCAATGAGGCATGGCAAGAAGTCAACAGTTATTCAGAGGTAGACTGCCTCTGAAAGGAGCAGTTCTACTTCAGTATCACGATATATGAATAGCTCTTGCCTTCTCCTTTTGCGTGAATGTATTAAAGGCATAAATTGCTGTCACTCCCTCTTCTTCTAATTATCAAAAATCAGCAGCATGCTGGAGACCTATCAGGCTAGGAGATTTTATGAAAAGATGATTCATAAATGAATAACATTATCTGATTTAAAGAAAAAAAATCATTTAGTGTAGAAGTGCCCAACCGTGGCAACTTTAAGCCACAACTTCAGCTCCCAGAATTTCCCAGCTAGCTGCTCCAATACTCGAAAATCCAGAAAATATTTGGTTTTGAGGCTTTGCCTGCCAGATGCAGGACAGGAGGGACAAAAAGGAGGAGCTGTTTTCCTTTTGTTGGGTGTCTGGTCCTTTTAGTTACAACTTGAAAATGGATATCTATTCCCAAACTCAATGCCTCTTTTAAAAAACTCACTGGCAGAAAATTACATGTCGGCAGGATGGATGGGTGATGGTCCCAGCCTCAAGACTCCCAGCCACTCTTCTGGGGGGGCACATTCTCCCCTCTAATGCCACAACCCAGGTTCCACACCAGCTGCATTTCTGGGGGGAACCTTTTAGCTGTTGGGGGGAATCCCAAGCTCAGTACTTCTGCAACAGTCGGACGTTTTCGACTTTTTTCCCCCTGCACTGTGACTCTCAGCTCCTCTTCCCACTTGGCCTCATCCCACTCCATGCAGAGTTTTTCTCAGAACTTTCCTGATTTCAGTAGTTAGGGGGAAAAAGGAAGTGAGCCCACAGTAAATTCAGTTGGCTTGGGAGAAACCCGAGTTTCATTCCTGGCGTGGGTAGGAGGGTCAAAAAAGTCAAGATGTTAACCCAAACCATGAAAGGAAATCCCTGGCTGCACACACAATGTCCATCAAAATGGATGTAGCGTTGACTACACCTTGCAATCAAAAATCAAGATTCCATCTTAGTTGACGAGGTTCCTGCTGAGTTCTGTGTTTTGAGAGGAACCAGCTCTGGGAAATTCTCTCCGGGATGAGAGGACCAAGGTGACCCATACAAAAAAAGGAACAAAGCTCCTATGATGTCATCCTGTTGGCCCTCACCAGCTCTTGGAGACCCCTGATTACCAACATGCAAGGAAGGCACATCAAACATGTGCGGTCCAAGATGGGGCATCCTGGCATTACCCGGAGTGCATGACTCAATTCACTAATTATTTCTCCCCTATCGTGCCAGTTCACGTTCTTGCCTCACCCATCGGCTTCCACTTCCTAAGCGTTAACTTAGTCACCTTCCACGAGAGGGGCAGCTATATAAATTTGCTAGATAAATAAATAAGTAACAATAAAAGTAAGCAATTGATAAAAGTAAATGAATCGCTGCAGTCTTCAGAGAAGGACACAAGCATGCAAAATTTGCCCCTAATGACTCCTGGGTCCAATGAGGTGCCCTTAGGATGCCATACCTCCTGCAGTAACGTGGCTTCGTATTCCTGAAGCTGTTTCTGAAACCCAAAGTTGGGGCTCACGTAGGAACGGACCGCTTTGGCAGCAGCCAAACATTCTCTCCAGCCAAAGCTGGTTACCGTCATCAGGTAGGTCACCAAAATTGTGGTGCTGCGAGAAACTCCTGCTAAGCTGTGGAAACAGAAGACAGAAGCCATGGTTTTCAGTTTACATAGAAGTGGAAAATATTCACAATGGACTCAGGATTAGCAAGAGTTTCTACCTCAAGAGAAAGTAAAATTGTCAAAATCTTATCTCTGTAATTGCCCATTGCCACATTAAGTTCTATAATCATGGCTTGTTTAACAAACCAAAATTAACTGGATTCAACTAACTAAGCAAGACACAAAATAGGAGCCAGTGAGATAAAATGGTTAAGGTGTCTGATGAGGCCTGAGAAGGCTTGGGTTCAAGTCCATCCTTGTCTACAGACATGCACTGATTGTTTTTAGGGCAGATCTTGGAACCCAATTTTTCACAAACTCATAATAATGGACAGTGTCAGTGTTTTCAAACTTGGCAATGTTAAGATTTGGGGATTTCAATTCCCAAAATTCCCCAGCTAGCAGATGTGGACTTGGTCAACTCCGAAAATTCTCCAGCCCACCTTTAGCCATCACCACCGCTACCATCCTGCTTAGTAAATCCACAAGGTTTAAAGGTATGTTTATTTGCAGAGCTTTAAATTTCCAGAGCATGGGTTTCCTGGGAAAGTAACAAAAAAAAAAGAGGCAGGATCACATACCAGTGAATGAGACAGGCTCCACCATGCAGTCTACATTCATGGACAAACCTGATGCACTCTTTAAAATGTTGTATTCTGGAATGGAGAGAAGAAAGAAACTTCACTTGCTTTGAGACTCTAACTAAACACTTCTCTTGACTAGCAAGCCAGAATTCAAGAAAGAACATTCAATAAACTATAGCTGTTCCTCATGACAATGCAGGATCTGGGGGGATCTTCTGGTTGAGTGTGTTGAGCAAGTTCAACAAGATCTTCAGACCTATCCTGAAGCCACCTTTGCAGATTGTGGTATTCAAGGAGGTTTCCCGGTCAAGCACCAGGGAAATCAGGAGATAAAGGAAAGTATTTGAAGCTCAGGGTTGACGTGAGGGGTCCTTGGTCCTCTCTGAACTTGCTTGTTTCCTTGCAGATCTTTCATTACCCAAACTAGGTAACATCATCAGTGGAAATCAGGAGATCCAGATGTGTATAAAGATTTACTGTAAGCTTCAGATGTGTATAAAGATTTATTGTAAGCTTAAGCTCTCCACAAGAATCTGAACTACTAACGGTCAAGGGAAATTAGTGGGAGTTAAGAACAGAAAGAAATTCAAGGTGGGCTGTACTTAGATCTCTTGTGTTCACGCAGGGACTCATGACTGATGACACGTTTGACCCCTTCCTCGGGTTCAGCTTGGTCATCTCCTACAGCTTCTGCTCTTTGTGATTGTGGTGATATGTAGACAACAACACACATGTATACCTGCCTTCTGTGTCCTGATCAATACACATTTAAGGACCTCATGGCAGCGCAACAGAACACAATTAATGTTGATGGTTTCTGAGCTAGATCTGTTTAATTTGCACACATTTTAATCTTATCGTTTATGTTTTAAATGTTCTAATATGCATTATTTAATTCTGATGCTTCTTTTTTTTTTTACAAAATTTTATTAAGTTTATATAGATGAGGAAAAATAGGAACAATACAGGTATGGTAAAGGGAGGGGTGGAAGGAAAGGGGAAGGGAATAAGGAATTAGGGTAAAATAAGGATAGGTACAATCACATATTTCAACAAATAAGCTACCGTCCGGATCATAATAGTGAGTAAATATCATATTCAACCATTTTTACCAAAGCCTATATAACATATTAAAAACAATTAGTAAACAAATACGTTGATCTATTAAGTAAACACTACTAATAAAATCTCAAAAAATCCTAACAATCAAAAGTAACAAATGAAAATCAGGAAATCAGGAAAAATAATCATATCATCAAAATGTTAGTTAGAACTCAATTAAAAATCAGTCATCTATTCTAAAATATTAAATTCTTCAAGTTCTAACGTGTCTCTAACCATTGATAAAAATTTTCCCAAGTTCTAAAATAAATAAATAAGTTTGCATATCTCTGTCATCCCCTCACATTTAAACATATATGTTTCCCACTTTAGTATGGTATGCTTAAGGTGACATGACAAATGGAAGGAAAATTATTGAGATTGGCTATAATAACCGAATCAAGTGTCTGCTCTACTGCCTCCCCCTTTTATGCTCCAGTGAACCAGCTCTGCCCAAGCTACTTCCAAGTGTATCTAAACATTCTGGACTTTAAAAAAAATGATCCCCTTTGCCTTTGTTCTGTCTATCTCCATGAAGGTCATTTTTCTTACTCTCTGCAGGAAAGTCAACCCTACAGATCAATCAGCAAAGCCGTTTGAGATAATTCTCCAGGGATTAAGATCCTTCCAGGAGCCATCCTCCTCCCCCCGCCCCACCCCAATTTTCAGAGCAGAAACAGGGTGAGGGTCCCAAACTCTGCCCTTCGTTTGTGGTTATGGGGTCAATCCATGCCACCCTGTTTGCAGCTAGCTTCTTGGAAAACCCTTTCAAAGTTCACTTGAGATTGTGAAATCCAGACTCCAAAACAGAGTGCAAAAAATAGGCACTTCTGAACAGAGTTTCCTTCCTTTGGCCCACTGCTCGGAGGAGTGTTGTGATTGCACAAAAAAAGATGGAGGGGAGGGAGGAGTAAATAACAATCCAATTTTGCTGAAGAAGGATATTCTCACCCCCAAAAAAAATTTCAGAGAGAATATTTAGCTCAGAGGAGAAAATGCTTGCAAAAACGCTGCCATCTTTGGCTTCAAAAGTTCAAAAGATGTTAAATTCAAAAACGGGGGAAAAATCAAAATGGGAAAAAAATTTCAAAAGAGGTTGGCAATAATTTTTCAAAGCAAAACCGACGCTCAGCTTCATCAGCACATAAATTTAATACATGGTTATTAACTAGGTACAGTAGCCACACTTTTTTTATAACAGGAACACAAGAGATTTGTGGGTAAGTGTGAAAAAACCAAAGGTTCAAGAACGGGCACGTGCTTGGATGATCAATAAACTGCAGCTGTAAATTTCGTGTAATTTAATTAGTCCATTTTTCTGTCTGCAAACCTGCACGGGTTGAAGCCACAACTTTGTGCATTTTTTTTTCCTAACGTTCTGCCCACCATCTGTTCAGAAGGCTGGGATCAGTATAGCCTGTCCATCATCTGAATATTTCACGCATTTTCCAATCAATGCCACCACATCATTTTATCCAAAGATCTCATTGGGTCAATCACATAACCGCTTTTTTTCCTAGCTAATTTCACAACACTCTGAAAAAAAAAAATCCAGCTTGATTTTCCTGGTTTGTACAAGTAGCCTACTCTTTCCTTGAAGGATGTCCACAAGTAAAATGAAACACTTGGAAATGCCTTGCTTTGGATGATGCAGCTTTGATGCATCATCAAAGACATTGTTATTATTTAGCGTATGATGAGCACATGGCAGAAGAGAAGTAAACATAAACACACATGACAATCAGAAGTGCATAAAAAAAACTCAAAGAAATGGAAGGATGAGAACAGATTGTGTGTTCTGTGTTGTGAAAATAAGGCCATCAAGATAGAGATGAGATAGAAAGGAGACAGAGATATTCTTACTGTTCTATCTTGCTTTCTCATCTCAACAACTCATTATTTCTGAAATGATTTTTTTTTTTTACCCTCCGTTACCCTCACAGCACGTGGAATAATTTTGAAAGAACTTACAAGTTTTGATTCGAAGAGTCTGACGCTGAAATGCAGAGGTAGGTCATGCCCTGAAATATAAAAAGGGAAAGTTTATGGAGATTTATCTGTGATTTGGATAAACATCAACATGACGAGGCTTTATCGGCTTAAATGAGGAAGCGCCATGATTGTTGTGGCACGCGACAAAAACCTCTTGCTGCAGTTCTAAGATAGTTTTGACACAAAGCATTGATAAATTCTGGGGAGCCGCCTGCCTTTGAAGTGAGCTCAGTGTATTTTTTTTTTTTTTTTAAATGTATTGCCAACAATCCATTCAGAAATTCTAGCCACCTTGCTGAATGAGGAGAGAGAGGGGAAAAAAAAGAGAAAGAGAAAGAGAAAGCTTCAGAAAGAGACAGGATGGCTATATATTCCCTAGTTCTGACTCTGTCTCCATCCTGTTTCTTTCGGTTCTTGACACCCCGCTGTTCTTAACTGAAAGAAAAAATGGTCCATCCAAATGACCATCATTACTGAGGGCCAACCTGGTTTGGTGTTCCTAAATATAATTTTCATTTTGGAGAAAGAGTCTCAGGATAAAGAGACCTGTGGGAATCAAGGCTGTGGAGAAGGGGAGATGGGGTGCCCTCAACCTCTTTCTCTTTGTTGGCTTCTACTTGGAGAAAAATCTCCCATTGTGCCCTCTGGGTTACAGGTAGACTTTAACTTACAATCCTCGTTTAGGGTTGCAATGACCCTCAAAAAAACCCGACCTATGACTGTTTTCCACACTTAACAATCATTGCAGCATCCCCTGGTCACGTGATCAAAATTCGGGAGCTTGGCAATGGGCAGGTATATGTGACAGATGCAGTGTCCCAGGGTCACCTGATCACCATTTCTAACCTTCCCAGCCGGCGATCAACAAGCGAAGTCTGTGGGGAAAGGCAGATTTGCTGAACAACTGTGGCTAAAAAGGTCGTGAAATGGGGCACAATTCACTTAACAATCCTGCTGCTTAGCAGTGGAAAGTTGGGGCTCAGGGGTGATTGTGAGCAGAGGACTGTAGGTACAACTCCAAGAAAGCCATCGTTCTTCTGAAATTTGCCCACAGGGCGTGTGTGTGTGTGTGTCTGTGTGTTAATGACTAAATTAGCTCATTTTCTGAGTTTGCATATTGAACTAACCAGCTAAGCAAACCACAAGCTGGGTTCCCACACCATGTTGTCAACAAGGAAAAGGGCCTTGCCAAGGCGAACTCTGAGCAAGCTTGATTCTTTTGTACCAATTTAGCTACTAGGGTTTTACCTCACCTGGGTTTGTGTGTTGCGTGACCACAGCCGCACACTTTTTGCTGAGGAAGAGAGGAGCTATAGGCCAACTCAGCTGGGTTGGGAAACACTGAGACCCTACACCTGGGTCAATGTATTTATCCTTCGTCAAATATATCTCCTGCATTTCCTCCAAGAACTGGAGGCCGTGTGTGCGCTATTTGCCTCATAGTATAACAGCCATGAAAAGTAGGTTGGGTAAAAGGAGAGGAGCCGGCCTGAACCACCCAATGTGGGAAGGAAGACCTGGACATGGGTCATCTTAACTCTCACAATGCTGTAAGCCAAAAATGTGGTTGTGTATCTGTTGCTTGGTAACTTGTCTGGCCTAACAGTTTGGTGTGCCATGTGAACTTCGCCAGTTATGTAAACAATGGCCTAGTACAGGGGTAGGCAACCTTGGCTCTTTTATGACTTGTGGACTTCAACTCCCAGAATTCCTGAGTCAACCATGCTGCCTCAGGAATTCTGGGAGTTGAAGTCCACAAGTCATAAAAGAGCCAAGGTTGCCTACCCCTGGCCTAGTAGTTGGTTGCATGAAGACACCCAACCGGTAAACTAGGAATGGATTTGAGATGCTTCGGTCACCAACTTTGAGCCCTTTCAGAACTGGTCACTCCAGGCAACTCTGGGACTTGAGAGCGATAAGGAGCACCATGAGAAAGGAACATCGGAAGAGATCTAAAGTGTCCTTGGCTAAACTTTGTTTTTCTTCATTCAGTTCAGCACAGACTCTGAGAAAACAAGAGAGGAAGTAAAGAAAGAGGATAAGAGAGGTAGAATCTCTTCCGATTGGAGTCCAGCTTCTGGAGATTCCATAAACACATCCAGGATGGCTTCTTGGCAACAGAACATAAATGATTTGCCATTGTTTTCTTCTAGGCCAGTGTTTCTCAACCTTGACAATTTTAAGGCATGTGGACTTCAACTTCCAGAATTCCACAGCCAGCAATGCTGGCTGTGGAATTCTGGGAGTTGAAGTCCACATGCCTTAAAATTGTCAAGGTTGAGAAACACTGTTCTAGGCTGTCCTACATCTCTGGCACTTCCTGGCATCTTTCATCAAAACCTAGCCAGGTTCAACTCTCTTTAGCTTCCCAGTCCAGAAGGAAAGCTTCATGTGACCACCCAAGACATTGTAAAAGAGGACCCAGCAGGGATGAATAGCTGCCTCAGAAGAGGACCTAGTTTCAGGACAGAGTCTGGCCTTTGAAAGAGAAGTTTCCAAGTTCACACCCGGCATTTCGTCTCAAGCGCAGCAGTTTGGGGAGAAGAGACGAGAGGCTGAATAGCAACTGCTAAGCTGGGACACATAACGCAAGGCTAAACATCTTGGCTGTAAAGTTGTTCCCTCTCTTCAGAAGAAAAACTAGAGAGATACACATCACTTGAAACATGAAAATGCAAATCTAAGGAGTATGTTGCAATTCAGGCACAATAGCAAAATCATCCAGGCAGTTTTTAACCTCCTCTCCCTCACAGCCCACCCACTTTGAGGAGGAGGAGGAGGAAGAGGAGGAGGAAGAGGAAGAATCAACCCTCCTTTGCCCCCACCACACCGAACCCAATGCCTGGGAACCACAGCTTGTCTCGGCATTTCTGTCACTCTGCCCTGAGATTGCCATATTACTCAATTCATTCATGTGTTTCCGGTTCCTCTTCTTTCTTTTTTTCCACTCTTCTGCCTTCCTACTCCATCCTGTTGTAAGGCTGGTGGATCAGCCATCTGCCTGCCAAAATCTGAGAAGCATCCTCCTTGCATTGCCACTCTTCCCCCGTCTTCCCCTAACCCACACACACATTCCCGTCTTTCAAGGTAGGAATTTCGGACCCGATGGTAAGACCAAGTTGGACCAAGCCCACCATGGTTTTAGTGCAACACAGCAAATCAGACAAGGTTCAGTTTGTAAAGAGGAATTTGTGAGCCAGTTCTTTCTGATCTGCAGCCAGTCTCTGATCCCAGCCTTTCCCAAACGGGAGGTGGCCACACTGTGGTCATGTTGTGTCCAGCAGAAGGGAGATGTAGTCTAATTCACCTAAAGGGCTGGGGGACATTAGGCCCTGCAAACCAGTTCGGTCAACTGGTCAAGGTGTCACAGTAGGAGCTAGGAAATCCGAATTGTAGTCCCATCTCAAAGCCTGACAGACCAGATTAGGGATAGATTGTCATGGAGAAAATCTATGTATATGATCTCTGGGGTCAAATATGCCTTGATGGTACAGAATCAATCAGTCCTGTCTTAGACTTAAAAGCAGGCTGGGTCTCTTTGGGCCAGCCCTTCTCTCTCAGCCCTAGGAATAAAGCCATGGCAACTCAAAAAACATTACCAAGAAAACTTCACTGAGTTACATTCTTGTAGGTAGAACGACTATGACTCATTCGGACTTGTGTGGGTCTGCTGCCCTCCATCGGTTACAGTAAATTATGACTTCTGTTTTCTGTGTAGTGTAGATGGATGGAGGGTGACTCTTAAGGAAAGAGCCCTTCAACCCCTTTGTCACTGTGAGTCTGAAAGTTGCAGGACCACCTGCCCTCCCCAAAATGTCTCAAGGGATTTGTGATACTCACTTCCAGCAGAGGCTTAGCATTGTTGTGCACTGAAAGAATGTGGGTGATCCCGTGTTTCATCAAGTTCTCTTTGTCTTCAGCATCTGCAAAGAATCAAATCTTTCTGAGATGAACAAATGGATGCGGACTTCATTCTCGTAGAAGAAATAACGACATGGTTTTATGACCGGGGCTTGATTGCCTCCAAAGAAGTTCTGAAGAACTTCAAGAGACGCCTTGCAACTATTCAGGGTTATTGCTCCCATAAAAAGAGACAGAGCCCCAACTTCATGTTTGCAGCTGCCATCTGGGTTGCTGTGCATCATATCCTGTGGACATTCCTGCAACTGTTGTTATCTCAATGGTGCTATGGATCGTTATCCTGGTTCATTCCTGGCCTATTTTACTAGGCTAGATCAAGGGAGGGAAGGAGCAGATTTCCATAACATTAGCCATCATCAGCTCCTCCAAGAATAAACTACTGAAAAAACTTACCACTGATGCTCCCGAGGTAAAGGCCCTCAACCACCTAAGGAGACACCAAGAAAGAACATGAGTGCATTGTCTCCAATGCCGGAGGGGGGGGGAAATTACTTTCTTGAATAAATACATCATGGAAAGCAGCTATTTTACTCCATCCTACATGGGTTAGGCCTCCCCACACAAGGTCTTACATCCAGGGCATCACATTTTAAGAGACACTGAAGCAGTTGTAGAGAATGTCAACACAGTCTGGTGGCATTTTTTCCAACAAGCAAATGTATTCGAAGGCAGAAGCTTTTGTGAGGTGCCTCTGCCTTCATCGGATGCATAAATGATGGAGGATTTAAACTGAGGTGAGGTGGGGGCGGGAAGAGAAGGGGAGATAGGTTGGTTACCCAGATGCAGCGGACACATGAGAGAGATTATAAATATCTTATCAATCAACAGTTGTAGAGTGTTGGGAAAGTTAAGCATTTTTTAAAAAAAAGATAAAATAATACAAAAAAAAATAGTATCATATACAGCACTCCAATATATAAAATCCAACAGAATCGGAAGGCCACAGATGTGCCCACTCGTTTGCACTGTCCTCCCCACCACCTCCATAGCAGCTGTTCCTCAGAAGCGTCAATCTCAATCAGTCACTCATTGCATTAATCCATGGTCTGCATAACTGTGGTTTAATAACTGGAGGTTTTTAATTGGACAGCCACTTGTCTGAAATTGTATTGGGTCTCCTGCCTGAGCACAGGGGGTTGGACTAGAAGACCTCCAAGGTCCCTTCCAGCTCTATTCTGATTGATTGAAATCACAACGGGCTGGATTGACACATCCCTGGAATTACAAACAGTCAAAGGGATCTTGCAGAAAAATCAGCCTGCTGGCTGAGAACGATCCGGCGTGGAAAGAAATCTGAGACCACTCCTCTATCTGGGTCAGGAGGTCTAATTATACTTCAGTGAAAAGAGGACTCTCCCCGTTGTTTAGGGACACAAGTCGTAAACAAAACGTCCGCTAGGCAGATAGTAGTGTTAAAAAAAAAAGTGATTGCTTCCTTCTTTTTCTTTTAAGCTCTGCTGAAAGTTTTGGGGCGGGGACAAAAAAAACCCAAACAATTTCTACTTCTACTCCTTCAAGGACCTTCAACTCCAGATACCAAACTTGAACCGGTGCCTGCATGTTTATTCGTTCGGATATTGCATGATAGCACCAATATGTGAGACAGTGTTTCCCAAGCTGGAGAACTTTAAGATGGGTGGACTTCAGCTCCCAGTTTCCCAGCCTGCTGATGTAAGAGACAAAGTTGATGCATTGATGCACAGACCAAGGTGGATGGAGAAAAGCTGGATCACAGAAGAAGGATGCAAGCTAGACTATTCCTTTCCTGTTCCTCTTTTCCTTTCCAGCTCCTGTTTATTGTTTTAAATGACCCTCCCCCCATTTCTACAACCCAGCCACTCTGCACCCACCCACACCTTCTTGGGGCCCTTTCTATGAAACTCTAGGATTCTACCTTACTCATGCCGATCCCCATGACAACTGCTCGTTCTTTGGCGGGCAAGCAAGGGCAACGTTCACTCCGTTTCCCCCTTGGTCTCCGAGACCCTGCAAAGCAAAAACAGATGGCACCAAACCAGAGAACAAGCTTGCAGCTGAGACTTACCCGGCTGCACCCTATTTCAAGGAAGGAGTGTGTTGTGTGTCCAAAGGGTGTGTTTGTCAAAGGAGAGGCAAACCTGAGAATGAGGAAGAGTGCCAGGAACCGAGAAGCGGACAATTTCTCCTTCCACTCACTCGGACTGCTGATGCTTTTCTGAGCTCAGGACAGCTGTTGTCAATGGCCCGTCAGCCCAACGAAGCCTTCTAAGGTCACCCAGGACTGAGGGAGGCGGGGACCCTGTGTAGGCTGGACTTGGGACAAGTGGTCAGTTGATTTGGGAGGCCTGCCTGTGGCACTATTCCCTCTGTCCTCCCTCCCAGTCCCGTTAAGTCACTGCAACTCAGTTGCTGCTGCCAAGCAGAACATCAAAATAACATAGTTGGAAGGGACCTTGGAGGTCTTCTAGTCCGACACTTTGCTCAAGCAGGAGACACTACACCAGTGGTGGCGAACCTATGGCACGGGTGCCAGAGGTGGCACTCAGAGCCCTCTCTGTGGGCACGCGCGCCNAATTTCAACTTCTCGTGGGAAAAAAAGATCTCGCAAAGTTGGAATTGATTGATTGAACTTTTTAGTCCCACCCAGTCTGCCATTACCACCACAGCCACGCCCACCCAATGGGCCACACCCACCCGGCACCCGACGACACATAAGTGGGTTCTGGGTTGCAGTTTGGGCACTCGGCCTCTAAAAGGTTCGCCATCACTGCACTACACAATTCTGGACAAATGGCTGTCCAATCTCTGCTTAAAAACCCCCAGTGTTGGAGCATCACAACTTTTGGAGGCAAGTTTTTCCACTAATTGTTCTCACTGTCAGAAAATTCCTCCTTAGTTCTAGGTTTCTTCTCTCCTTGATGAGTTTCCATCCGTTGCTTCTTGTCCTGCTTTTGAGTACTTTGGAAACAGGTTGACCTCGTCTTCCTTGTGGCAGCCTCTTAAGATAGTGGAATACCGCTATCATGTCATCTGTAGTCCTCCAAGAGGTTGTGTTGCAATACAGGTAAGTTCTTCATAGAAGGTTTATTTGGGAGGGGGAAGAACATCATGGCAGGGGCTCTTTGGGAGATCAACCTCTTGGTTGTCAGCTAGAAATGGCCTGGCTGAGTTTCTTCAACCATCAGGTTGTAATTGTAAGCAGATCTTTTTCTAGTTTCAGTAGGGTATTGAGCTTCCCATCCTAGTACACAATGCAGAAAGAAGGGAGAGAATTCTGATATGCAGTATGGAGGAGGAGGAGGAGGAGGAGGAGGAGGAGGAGGAGGAGGGCCAATAAACTGGGGAGGAGGATTGAGAACTTTCACCCTTGTTATGGTCATCTTAAGCTAGTCCAACATTCTGATTCTTCCTAAATTTTATCTATCCAAGATTTCCATTACCAACTTGTTTTTCCTCTGGAGACAGCAGCACCACTGGAGAACCACAGCAAAACCCAAACAAAATTGGGAAAGCTCCATACCCTGCAGCAACCCTCAGGGTCTCCACCAAAATTCAGCAGAAACCCAGTTTTTTCCCTCAGTCACCGTCCTGGTAGATGAAGCCCTCCAACCAACAGGCAGAGCATCAAGAGCTCCTTTCAAGCACTCTGGCATCCTACCAAATTCTTTATTTTCCTTGGGCTTTTTTTCCTCTCAGATATGGAGGGCCCCAAGGTTGTATTTAAGATCCTTTCAGCTTGGTCTCTGATACAAACTCTTTGGTATATTCTACATGGAATGGGACAACTCACTGCAGCCAACTCACTACGGTCAAGCACCACAGGACGATGTAGGACAATGTAACAATTCAATTATTTAAAATAAATAAAAAATATTTTAATGTTTGTCGTTCACATTTCATTCTGCCCGATTTTGCATTCTTTCTTTAATGATTCTATCCCATCATTTCTTTGATATTAGTGTAACTTCTTTTCCACAGCAAATGCCCTGCGGCGAACTGTTATATTCTATATACAATTTGCATAAAGGAACTGTAGCAATAGTTGGATTATTTATTGCATTTCCAAAGCACAGAATTGACCTGCACAGTACACCTACTGGGTTGGCTGGAATCTCGGAGTCCTAGTGGACAATCATTTAAATATGAGCCAGCAGTGCGCTGCAGCTGCCAAAAAAGCCAACACAGTGCTAGGCTGCATTAACAGAGGGAGAGAATCAAGATCACGTGAAGTGTTAATACCACTTTACAATGCCTTGGTAAGGCCACACTTGGAATATTGCATCCAGTTTTGGTCACCACGATGTAAAAAAGATGTTGAGACTCTAGAAAGAGTACAGAGAAGAGCAACAAAGATGATTAGGGGACTGGAGGCTAAAACATATAAGGAACGGTTGCTGGAATTGGGTAT